CTTCTTCTGTTTCTTGCTTGAGCCTGCTTCAACGGCGCCTTCAACTCTGTTTTGCTTGATGCCTCGAATTCTTGCAGCCCACGGCGCGCTGTCCGACGTAAGCGTTAGCCGAAAGGCGCAGCCGCTTCTCAGCGGGGCTCAGGGGCAAGCCAGGTGAAGACAGTGTCTTTGAGGGACGCGCCGGAGGTTCGTGTACCAGTGGGGCGAGCCGCGGGCTGGGGGATGCTTCTCGTGATGTAGCACTTTGAACTCGCATCTCCGGGTGCGGAGTGGCAAGGCTGTGCGTTGCCATGCTGATGTTGCTTCTGGCTAGCTCCACAGATCGTGAGAGTGCTCAGAGCACACCACATAGAACCCATGAAAGTGCTCGTGCAGATTCTGGCTGCCACTGATGCCAGGGGACCACCGGTCTGAATGCAATCTCTTGTTGCCTGCCTTGATGGTATGCTTAAGCGAGCTGCTGTGCGTGCGACCTGGAGTTGAAGCTGGGAGACGCGCCATTCATAGCTCCTTGAGCCCGGGCGTACTAGGAAGAACCGTGCCGCAATCAAGCCCCGTGCACGTTTCAGTCCCCAAGCCCTTCCAAAGTCTGGGCTTCTGTTTGGTGCGGCGGAGGGTTGGGGGCATCAATCTTTACCCAGAGGCCTGGTGCTTCCTTGAGGTCGCAACTCGTGCTTCGCGGGGTTTCGGGTTCCTTGGTTCTTGGAAGGTCGCAGTGAAGCTCCAAGGCTCGACTTGTTCCCTTGGGAGTGAGGGGAGCAATGAGGGCTCCTCAATGTCGTCGCTACCGAGCACTTTCTGCTACTTCCCCGACTGCAGACCGGTCATCATCAACACGACCAGCATGAAGTGCGCAATGGAACTGCGGAATGTGGTAGACTAGGCCTTGTGGCACGGTGAGCTCCTGAGGCAGTTTGTACATGGCAGCAGAGAGAGAGCACAACTCCGGCTTGTTAAGAGCGGCTCATGCAGCGTTGGCGGTAGAGCGTCAGGGGTTTGTTTGAGAGCCTGGCCCTTGCTTCCAGCAGTGCCGCGGCCGAAATCGCAGCCATGCGTGAGATTGTTTTGCAGTTGGCACACCGGGTCGCAAGCATAGGATGCGCCTCTCGAGGACTTCTCCTGCTCAGTCTCAAGGCCCTTCTGTTGCATCTCCAACATATACACGAAGATGGACCCAAACGGTGCTATCAGATTCAGAAGCAATGGAGCCTTAGGCCCGCAGCTCGAAACGCTTATGTCCTCCGAAACATGCCTTGACTACTTCGGCAACCCAGCATGCCGTTCAACATGAGGATCATGAGGCAACGGTGAAGGAAGAGGAAGAGTTGGTCCTGCTACCCGTCAGCATGGCTTGATGTAGGGGTCTTACTCTTGAAGTAAACTCAGCACCTTGCCGGGCAAGAACATTTGGCCGGCCTTCTTAAGTGGCTGCTTTGGTTATTGTGGGTGCGGTGCTGCTGAATTCAGCTTCCTGCTTCAGTCACAGAAGGCCCACACAAGTCCCGGCAGCCTCGTCTCCGGGGATTGAGGCCCCAGGCATCACCGGATGCGAGGCTGAGGATTCTGGAGAGGGCCTTGCCAGTTGTCTGGGCACGCTTGCCTGCGGCAAGTGCGCCCGCCCCTTTTCAATCAGCATCGTGCATCTCTCGCGTCTCTTGCATCTTGTCTCCGCGCAGTCGCTGTGCGCTGGAGGGCTGGCTGCCGGTCTCCCTGGCGGTCCTTTTCATGAACAGGGCGGACAAATGCTCGTGTTCAAGCCTAGAGGAAGCACTCTCAGGAAAAGTTTATGACGTTTGAGGCTCGGCTGTATGAGGCAAGCATGCTGAGGGTCTGCTTCTGCACAACACCTGAAGTTGCCAGGTGCGGCGCACTTGGACAGAATTGCCTGTTGCCCACCTGAAGATCCTGCGCTTCCGCCTGCATCGCCTCCCTGACGCAATGTGTCGCACGCTCCCTTGGTGTTCTGGACCAGGTGAATGCTTTCATGGAAGTCGTGCAGGGTGGGAGCAGCAAACTCTAAAAGCATTTGCTGACGGTCTCTAGAATGGCTTGAGGAGATCATCCCAGGCAGGGGCCCTTAAGATGGGTTGGTGCATGGCGGCCGTGTTCCACCTACTGACTGCCAGCAGCTCGTGTGTCCAGCTGCATCTCCCACTGCGAGATGCGACTAGAGGTTGGAGCCTTGATACGTGACTAGCCAAGGCCATCGATGCCAACTCCACTCCCCCAACAGCCCGCGGTGGGGCCCGACACGCAGTGCCAGAGTCGGTCACTCTTCCCTGCGCTTGTGCGGGCGCCGGCTCGTTGCAACAGCGCCGAAGAGGCATGGCGTCGGTATATATATGGCATACTGCAGGCCACGGCCAAAGGATTCGTGGCGACTCAGCATACCATCAGATTGCATAAACGCGAAAGCCACGCAAGCGGAGGGCATTCGCGTGCTCTCTGTGGTCAAATCGGGCATGGACGAGAAGGACGAGACGAAGCACGGCGGCGACAGCTCTGACCTGAGCGTTGGGTGCTCTGTGGTCGACTTGCTTCGAGGATCGTAGCAACAGCCCAGCCCTTAACTCTTATCATCTCCTAAAGCCCTGAACTTCCTGAACCCTGATGCTCCTGTCCCGGGGCGAAGCACGCTCCGCCCTTCTGATTGAGAGCTTACGAGGTAGAAGGAGCATGCATTTACAGTCTGCATCTTTCTGGCGCTTCCTAGGCACAACAGCAAGGACCTAACAAGACCCTCTTAAACCAAGCCGACGCTCCGAACCCTCCAAGGCTTCGCTGAAAGCCAGAATTCTGGCCGTAAACTTGTGAGCATGCATGCATTCAGATGCTTCTGCTGACGGTAGTGCTCGCCTCCTGTCTCCTCTCCTGCTGAGCCGTGGCCCTTCTTCTGTTTCGATGAAGATTCGGCCGTATGGGTGGTAGCACCCAACCTCTGTCTGAAGCCGGCGCCTCCATCCCCAGGTCGTTCCCTTTCGACGTTAGATTTGCAGCATCGGGGTCGAAGCGACGTGGGGATGAACTCCCCCAAGCAATCATAAGGGAATCCTACTATTTGGGGTGACTCTACTAGGGGCCCCTTCTATTCGTGAACCATTTCGGTTGCTTCCGTGCCGAGTTCTCCAGGCCCGAGAATCCGACCAACCTGTTTTTGGATGCTCTGCGAGTCGTAGGCCAAAACTCGTTTGGGTTCTCGTACACTCTCCCCAACGTACAAGAATCCTGGCACCATGTTTTTTAGATTGTATTGCGCACGAAAGAAACTAGAAGTTCAGAGAAGTGATAAAAAATGATTAGTGGTGTAAGGTGTCGGTAACTTAACCAGGGCGTGGGAAAATCTTTCTCAACGTATGTAGTAGCAGTGTGCTCGCATCGACGGTGGGTCGCTCGAGTCTGTGGTGGTGGCGGCTGGGGCAGAGTCTCCCAGAACCGCGGCAGCATCTTTTGAAGGGGACTCGCACTCAAAGACAACCCCTCGCGTGGCAGCGCTCCCTGCCGAGCTGCCTTCTTTTTCTTCCAGCCCTCCCTCCACACCAACACCCAAACTTGTTGAAGAGCTCGCATGCACGCTGGTCCGGCACCGCGTTCACATAGTTTTGAAGCGTGGCGCGTGGAGGCTGCTGGCTTCAGCAAGGGCAAGAGGCACCAATGGCACGGACACCCTGCGCCCCGCGTGCTTCAGGCATTGTTGGTTGGCTTTGTCCGGGTAGAGTCTTGAGCCTTGAGTGACTGCTGCAATGTTCTCTGGGCAGTGCGTGCCATGCTCAGTACGCGCCTCACATCCGCGGCGACCGCAACCTGCACTGGCATGGTGCCGAAAGTTCCCGGAGGCTTCGGTAGTCCTGGAACGGGAACAGGTCAAAGTGACCAGTCCCCACGCCATGCGGCGCATGATACAAGTGGCCGGTGAAGAGCTGCCGCTCGCTTTCAGCGTTCCCAAGAGCTGGAAACTCCGCAGCAGCTTGTCACAAGCGACCTCTTGTATGTGTTGGGGCTCTGCGCCTCTGCGCTGGTCCATGCAACGCAGCATGGAGCTCCAACTTGGAAGATGCCCCAGATTGTTGCCCAAGGCCCAAGGCCATGTATTCTTCCTCCCTCCACTTCCCGCCTCACTTAGGAATCTAGGATAGGTGCGGCTGCAATATCCATCTTGTGTGCACCGTTCCGCGCACCATTCCGCACACCACCTGGCAGCCCACTCAAGCTTCGAGTGAAGGCTTTCGGCAGCGGGGCGGGCTGCGACGGAGCCCCATGACGGCTTGCATTGATTCTTCGCTGATCCTCTCAATTGTCGTACCACAAGGGCAGAACAGGGCTTCCACGACACTGGGCTTCAGATTGCAGCTGCAGAATTAACCAGACACGGGGGTGCAGCTGTCGGGCGACCCCACCGGGTTGTGAAGGTGTTGGCTGGCAAGCCATGCTGTGGGCAGTCTTGTCGGTAAGGCGCATGCGGGGAGGCTCGCCGTTTGAGATGTGCAGGTAACCCCCCGCATGCTAGCAATCTCTGTCGGCGCAGGAAGGGCAGGGGTCACATCCTTCACCAGGCCCCTCTCCAACCCAACACGCTACACACGCTGGTCCGGCACCGCGTTCGCACAGCTTTGAAGCGTGGCGCGTGGAGGCTGCTGGCTTTAGCGAGAGGCACCAATGGCACTGACACCCTGCCCGCCGCATGCTTCAGGCATTGTTGGTTGGCTTTGTCCGGGTAGAGTCTTGAGCCTTGAGTGACTGCTGCAATGTTCTCTGGGCAGTGCGTGCCATGCTCAGTACGCGCCTCACATCCACGGCGACCGCAACCTGCACTGGCATGGTGCCGAAAGTTCCAGATCCTGGAACAGGAACAGGTCAAAGTGACCAGTCCCCACGCCATGCGGCGCATGATACAAGTGGCCGGTGAAGAGCTCCCGCTTTAGGGGTCCCCAAGAGCTGGACACGCTGGAGCAGAAGCTTGCCACAAGAGACCTCTGGGATGTGTTTGGGTGCTGCGCTGGTCCATGCAATCCAGCACCTCCAACTTGGAAGACGCTCCGGACCCCAACTCCGCCTCCCGGGCCTCCCGCCTCAGGAATCTAGGACGCGGTTGCAGTGACCATGTGACCATCTTGTGTGCACCTTTCTGCGCGCCACTTGGCAGCCCGCCCACCCTTCGAGTGAAGGCCAACGCCGGCGAGACCCAAGCTTGCGGCGGCGGGGCGGGCTGCGACTCAGCCCTCTTCGAGACGAAGCCGGTTGAGGAGGCTGTGTGGGGTAATGGTATCACCACTACTTCCAAGAACATGATTGCGACGGGGTGAGGGGGCTAAGTGATAGACAAATGCCACCGTCATCTTTATCCCCCAGAAGCTATTGCCAGGGATCTCCGGGTGACGTTCAGCCGGAGGCTCCAGCCGGTGCCTCTCGTCCCAACCGGTTCATGTTGCGTGCTCTCTTCTTCCGGCGTGCCGGTGGGTCTCCAGCACCTCGAGTCTAGCTGCTTCCTCGAAAGGCAGTACGCGGCACTTCGGCGAGTCGCAGCGCCTTCCCCGGCAAAGGAGGCTCAGCGTCCGGGGCTCGACACGCCCTGGTCCTTGCAGTCCTTGAAGTGGGGGTCCACAGCTTCTTCCAGCTGCATCCTGGCTATCGGAGAGGCACGAGGGAGAGGGTTGCGTGTCGCGTGCACCCCAAAACTCGACACTCCGACATCTCAAGCCATCCTAGACCCTCGAGACATGCACTTAAGCACTGAAATTGCAGCCACTATCCGAGTCTATCCCGAAGCAGTCATTCGTCTTCATAAGGCGGGCGCCCGCTTTTGCGTTCGGGTTTGTTGTTTATAGGGGCTCATTTTGCGGTCAATATGTTTGCTGTAGGGTTTCGGGAGCTTGTTGTCAACTCTGGTGCTGGGGGGATTCGACTCTGAGAGGAAACTGGGCCTAGTGCCCCAACCCGCCTAGCGCCTAGCGACGCCAGGCTCAATGCACCTATCCTTCCGGGGCTCACCTCGCTGCTTTGCCACCGCGCCTTGGGGAGCCTTTAGGGGTTCTTTGGTTTTGTTGGCAGCTTTCCAAGTTATGGGTCGCGCTGTTTGTTTTTGAGGGTTCTCCTTTCAAGGCACTTGCAATACGACACCCTTTTTGGGGCCTTTGTTGGTTTGTGAGTTGGTCCATTGATGGTCTAGGGGTATGACTGGGGTCCTGGGTCTCTGTACCTAGAGTTTGGGAACATCATCTAGTTCACCAGACAGAACCAGGTTCCCACTGTTTGAGGTTAAGAGCTCTGTAAATGGCTAACCAGTGGGATAAGGCCATGGTCTAAGGATGCAGATGAGTGTTGCTGTGCCGGTAGTGGTCGACGGTCCCATATCAACTCTAGTGCCTTCGCCCAAGCAGACTCAGTGAGGCCGTGCCGGCATCGGATGAGTAGCAGTCAGCAGTGAGACTTCCAACCTGCATCTTTGCGCATCGAGGGAAAATTCACACGCACTTTGCTGCTTGAAGCGATGGCAGGGGAGGGGTATATCACTTCAGAACGATTCCCAGCGTGCCCTTCTTCATGGGAGTGTGCAACACATGAATGACATGGGCATTTTTTGGATGTCGTTCTTCCTGTCCAGAAATTTGGGCTCTCAGGTAGTATGCTTAAATACTGGCATGCCCTCGTTGTGCAACTGCTGGCATTGACCATCAGGGAGGTGAGACATACACCTCTGGCGCCTGGCGTGCCAGTTGAGGTCAGGACCGATTGTGTCTGTCATTGCCCCATCCCTTTGAAAGCAGAACTGGAGCAAAGGACATTGGTGCTTGCCGCATTTGCTTACTTCGGAGGCATCCTTTCAGTTCTAGGGGGTTTTGCAGTCTGGAGGAAGGCCGCCAGGCCAACGACTGACAGACCTGCCTTGGTTGAGTCAGTGATCTATGACGGGGAACGTCAAGCTGGATCTCCGAAATTTAGGAGACGTGGAGGAGGAGTGCTATCGGAACCTGAAAGCCGGCCAGAGAATCCTACTGTGGTACGAGGGTGACAACGTTTGGCACGAGAACATAGTGGGTTTGGTGGTTGGCGGGGAGGAAGTGGTGCTCTACACGCCTGATGACGACCTCTACATAGAGAAGATTGGTTGCAGAGGCCAAGAAGGACCGGTCAAGCTCCGTGGACTGGGACGGCGTCTTGGTTTTCCACGTGGACCGCATGGCAGGATCTATCAGTTCAGGGAGGCGGTCGATGATGCTTTGCTGAGGGCGTAGTCCGAGACAGCATCTCTTTAGTGGAACAAGAGAGGGGTGTCGTCCCGTTGCCTGCCACGGTGTCCAACTCGGCGAAGTAACGTTACGCTGGGCCCAGGCGGCCCGAAGAAGATTGGGATCCAGTGTCAGCAGCTGAACTTCACAAAGCAGCCCAAAAGCAAAAAGGAAGAGCCGGCGGCACTGACACCTGGACAGGAAGCGAACTTTCCGTCCTTCCGAAAGATATGTGGCACGGGCTTGCTAAGCTCTTTCAGCGCTGGGAGGCTCTGGGAACTTTTCCCACTGTTTGGCAAGAAGTGTGCCAGACTCACATACCCAAACCAGGCTCAAACCGTCAAAAAGATCAAGCTAAGCCCGCTAGCAAGCTCAGACCAATAAGCTTGCTTTCTGCGTGGTGGAGGATAGACTGCAGACAGCTCAGGCTCAGGAATGGGCCAACAGACATGTTCCGGCCGCTCAGGCGGGTGGACGAAAGCACAGGGATGCAGCAGCCACTTTCATGACGTTAGCATCTGCCTTCGCAACCGGCCATTTTATGGCCAGCCTAGATCTTGCAAAAGCTTTTGACCATGCACGTCCGGCAAGGGCCTTAGCAACCATGCAGTGGTACGGAATGCCTGGCAAGTTAACCAGAGCGGTTCAGCGTATCTGGGGAAACCAGAAAAGGTTTCTCTCATGGAATGGAGAGATCTGCAAGGATCCGATCAAGGTCACCAGCTCTATCCCTCAGGGAGACGCGCTGTCGCCCTGGGCCCTCAACAGCTTGCTTGCAGCACCCATGCGAGACATTCTGTCAAAGGTCCCCAGAACAGTTTTAGCTGTGTTTTTGGACGACCGGTCATGGGGCTCCGCCACTGCCGCCGAGTGTAAACGGGTCTTCGGCCTCTGGCATCTTCACACCAAGGCTTTGGGGCTGCGTGAAAATGAAAACAAAACCCAGATCACCCACAAATCGGCCAAGGGCCGCCGCCAATTGTTGGTGCACTTTCCTCATGACAAGCTCGTGAAGCACTTGCGCGCCCTCGGTGCGAGTTTGGGTATGGGCAAGGCTGATGAAAAAGAGTTGGAACGCATCAACAAAGCCATGAAGGCCGCTGATAAAATCCATGCTGCGCCTGTTTGCGCCGCTAAGAGGGCTTTCACTTCTGCTATGTCTGCCACGTCTAAAGCTGCTTACGGGTGGCTCAGCCGGGGGCCTGCTCTAAGTGTGGTCTCCAAACTTGAGGTGCGTCTCAAACGGGCGGGCTACAATCACCTCAACGCCTCGGTCCCTCTGGCCAAGCTGGTTGTAGGACATGCGCGAGATGTGCGTTTCACAGCAGGAATGCAGGCTCTGTCGGCAGCACATCGTGCAGTTAAGTTGTCAGGCGAGGCTTTGCTTGACTGGAACTGCACTGCAGGACCGGCAAAGCGACTAAGAAAATTTCTCTCTGGTCTGAACTGGAGAATTTCTACTGATTGGACCTGGGAGCACGCAAGCGAGCGTGTCAAGGTGTGTTTGGATCCTAGAGCTGCTGATTTTCAGGCCAGTTTCGACCAGCAGTCTCATGCTGTCAGGGAGAGCTGGAGAAGAATGCAGTGGAACAGGTTCCTTACCTCACGTAGAAGGGAAACCCCCCTTTTGGCTAACTTTCCTTATGACTCTGCCAGAGTAAGACGTGCTCGTGAAGTTGCCAAAACTGCAGGACTTCATGGCGTTGCTGTTTTGACGGGGGCCCTCATTTCCCCGCAGTGCTTTGAGAAAATGAAGCGGGGAGAGCATGCTGATGCTGTCCCCTGCCCCTTTTGCGGTCATCAAGCCGCGGACCTGCGACATGTGCTTTGGAGTTGCCCCAAGAATGGCAAACCACAAGGCTTGACGGCCAAAGATGCCCTTCAAGAACGACTTGCGTGGCCCTACGGAGAGAGTGCGGCGCAGGATCGTGCCGTTTTACAGCACGCGGCGAGCGTGCGACGTCGCCTGTTACAGCTGAGGTACCCCAAAGGGAACATCCGCAGCTAAGGACTGGCGGCAAACTTTGGCGCTGTTTCCCCCTGCGTTTGACGCGCATGGTTGTGGACTGCGTCAGCGTCTACATGATGATGAACTCGGCGAAGTAACCTTGGATGAGCTGTTCGGTGGACGCTTTGTCCATCGGAGACTTCGACCTGCCCATGCAGCGGGTGCTCTCACGGCGGCCGGGGGAGTCTCAGATGCTCCCCATGCCCGCGGACCCAGGGCGGCAAACTTCGTCGAGACCGCTCCACAGGACTTCGTGTGGCTGGCGGCGGAACCGCTTGGGGGACTCCAGTTGGGTCAGGAGGTCAGCTTGAATCGGGATACAGACATCGGCGCAGGTGACCGTGTGGCGCTGGCGCTCAGGCAGGGAAGTGGAGCTGGTAAGAGTCGAGGAGGCCACTGGCTACGCTGAGAGAAGACGGGCCCTGTTCGGCGTCCCTCACACTGCCCCACCACAGGACTCCATCTTGAATCGAATCAAGCCCGGGAAGAAGGAGGACAGCGGGGAGAGCGCCTCCTCTGAAGAGGTCCGCACGCTTTGGGTTGATTTCGATGATCAAGGGGAACGACACAAGAGATGGCGCGAGGTGGTCACCGAGTCCTACACCCCCGCCTACGATGAGAAGCCTCTTGAGGGTCCCTTGACGGCGCTCCATGTCATGAAACACATGGAGCGACATGGAGGTGATCCTCGCCAGTGGCTAGGGGTCTGGGCTCGCACCAAGCACATTGAGCCCACGGACAGAGTATACCACGAGCTTAAAGTCTTGACTGATTGTTTGTACTTCTCAGGAACATTCGATCAGGTGAACATCCCAGCCCTCATGGGACAGGAAGTTGTCTGCAGGAGGATTCAGGCTGTCGTCGATGCTTACATGAATCCATCGCGCCCGAGCTGGGAGAACGCGAAGGTCTTTTCTGGCATGGGAGCACCGGAGGATATCATTTCACCAAGTTTCAGGACCTACGCCACGAAGCGGAACAAGGACGAGCTTGAGCTGCTGCAGGCTAGAATCAAAGTGCGTGAGTTGCGGGGAGCACCGGCTTCTACAAGTGAGGATGGTCAGGAAAACCAGATGGCCCCCAAGAAAGGCCCCAAAGGTGGAGGCCGTAAAGGGGGCCAGGGAGACAATGCCTGATGAGTCAGGGGACGGGCCTTTCCCCTCTGGCCCGATCCCTGGTGAACAGCGAGGGGAAGGGAGGCCGCTTGCAGGTGAAAAAACACTGGCCGGCGGTTGGGGCGCGTGAGCTTTTCCCGCTCCCACTTTTTGCAGCTCCTTCTTCGAGTCCTGGAGGGTCGAGATCTTCCAGGAAGAGATGGGGACGAATTAAGCACAGGTATGACGACCTCAACGAGGCCGTCAATGCCCTTAATTGGATGGCTGGAAAGGGGCCCGCAAGAGAGTCCCTTCCGTCGCCTATGCAACACGAGGTGCTGCTCAGAATGGAAGGGTTGGCAGCCTGCCAGCAGCCCAAGGAAGCAGTACCTACTCCGGAGGGGCTTAAGGCGCTCCTCCGCGGTGGGACGCCGTACGATGCCAAGCCCACCAGTGAAACTCTCGCCAGCTACCAAGCCGAGCTCGTGTCACTACCAGATGATATCACGAAGTGCCCTGAACTAAGTCAGGTTCTTCATGAACACGACCGTCGGTTTTTGGAGCAGACATCAGAGCTGATGCTGAGACCTGCCGAGGACTTAGCTGAAGTAGAGCCCATTGAACCCTATTGGGATCCGAAACTCAAGTTCAACCGGAAGGAATATCATCGACTAGTCCGACGTCTCGATGGCATAGGCTATTTCCACTATACCACGAGGCCGGCTTGTTCCGTCGGCATCTTTTTCGTGTGGAAGAGCTCCCGTACCAAGCTCAGGCTCATCACCGACGCCCGAAGGGCAAACCAGCTGTTCAAGGCTCCTCCGGGAGTGCAACTGCTGTCGAGCGAGGGCTTTGGCAAGATTGAGCTTGACGTGAGTGCTGAAGTTTTGGGGGACCCTGAGGCCTTCTCTGCCCTCGAGATCTTTGTCGGATTGAGTGATATTAAGGACTGCTACCATAGGATGAAGGTGCCTCGTTGGATTAGCCGGTACTTTGCTTGGGAGGCTGTGCCAGCGAAGGTCTTGAAGATGACGGGCCAGGAGTTGGACGGGAAGGTGCTGGGCCCCCTTGACCCTGTCTACCCATGTGCTGGTTGCCTCTGCCAGGGCTGGAGCTGGTCTTTGTTCTTCGCCCAACGTGCAAATGAACAGCTGTGCTTGAGCAGTCGGCTTCTCCGAGAGGCATCCCTCGTCAATGACAAGAGCGAGCCAGTCGTGCTCAAGGTTGGGCATGTCGGCGGTCGCCTCAGCGAGGATTCCCACGTCAAGCAGTTTTTCTACGTATATGTCGATAACTTGGGGGTGATTGGACACAACAAGTCGAAGGTTGAGAGTGCTCTTGGCGAACTCCAAGGTATCTTCAACGGGCTCGGGCTTGAGCTACACAAGAGCGAGGTTGGAAGCCAAGGTGTCGAAGCGCTGGGATGTGTGCTAGATGGCTCTGCAAAACAGAGTAGACTAAAACCTACCCGCTTGTGGAAAGTGAGGCAGGGCATCCTTGGTCTCCTTCGCCGCGGGCGATGCACAGGCCGAGCCTTAGAAGTCATCCTTGGACACTGCACTTTCTGCGCTCTAATGTGCAGGCCCGCGTTGAGCATCTTCAACTCCGCCTACGCCTTTGTCCGATGTGGTTACATGGAGGTGCGCCCCCTTTGGAAGACGGTCGTCGAGGAACTCCAGTGCTTCCGCGGGATACTCTTACTGCTTTGCCAGGAGTGGGCTCGACCCTGGAACACCCTTGTCTCCTCGAGCGATGCGTCGCTCTCAGGCTACGGTGTTTGTCAGGCGTGGTGGCCACGATCTGAGGTTGAGCGATGTGGCAGAATCAGTGAGAGATCGCGCTTCAAGAGGGTCGGCCCTCATTCGGCACGGGAGTCTGCTCTGCTCAAAGCCGGCCTAGGCCGGCAGCTCAAGGGTGGAGCTGCGCTTGAAGCTTTGGAACAAGAAGGCTGGCGCATTGAGGACAGCTTCCCAGAGATTCCTGCGGCCGGTTTGAGACGAGAGCTGTGGTGTCCAAAGATGTGGGGAGCCTGGAGGTACCGCGAGGGCATTTTGGTGCTCGAGGCTCGTGCCGCCCTCAAAGGTTTGAAGAGAGTCCTCCTCACAAAATACGGCCACAGCATGAGACAGCTTCTTCTTTGTGACAATCTGCCGTGTGTTCTTTCTTTCGAGAGAGGTCGTAGTCACAACTATGCGGTGCTAAAAATCCTGAGGGAGTATGCCGCGTATTGCCTGGCTAGAAACGTTTCAGTTACCATGCGGTGGATACCGTCCGAACTGAACATAGCAGATGAACCTTCTCGGTTACATGATGAAGAAGACTCTAAGCTGTTGATCGACCTCATTACTGAAGAGTGGGGGAGCCATGGCACCAAAGCGTACTCGAACCTTGGAGGTAGCGAGCCAGACTGGGACAGCAAATGTCGGGACGTCTGGGCGCCGGCGAGAGCGCACCGTGACTGCCACACTCCAGCGGATGACGCAGGAGAATCGGGGCAGGTCTCGGCAACGACACTTGGATCTTCCCTCTCGCCTTGCAAGAAGAATGCAGCCATCCAAGGTGAGAAAGCAGGAGTTGCCCAGGACGGATTTGCAGCTGGAGGAGATAGAGAAGAAGTACAGACGCCGCAGAGCTCAGAACGATCTCAGCGAATCCGCCAGCACCTCATCCGAGCTCAGGGACGAGAAAAGAGGCGTCAGAGGGCGTGTGGGCCGGACAAGAGTCCGCCGAGCACTTCAGAAAATCGTGGATGCCGAAATGAGTGGTTCCACGGTTCTGGAAATGGCCGCGGTGACAAAGCCGGTCCGAGCACACTACAAGAAAAGACTTCAAGAACTGAGCCAGTTCGTGGAGCAAGGGCGGCTTCCCTTCACGACGGACAAGGAGATAGACGATGCTCTTGTGAAGCTTTTCAACCAGGCCTATCTGGATGGCGAGGGCAGCCACTTTGGCGACTACACCATCGCAGCCCTTTTGGACAAGGTCCCCGAGTTTGGTCGGCTGGGATCGCGCAAGATCCCTCGCGCGTGGAGAAGCTTGAAAGGGTGGAGACGGCTGTGCCCATCTCGCTCGAGGCTTGCCTATCCCTTGGCGGTCTGGTGTGCGATGAGCTGGCGGATGGTGGAGAGAGGACAAGTGCAGATGGCAACCTTCAACCTCCTCCAGGTCTCGACCTACCACCGTCCCAACGCGCTCCTGAAGCTCCGGAAGATGGGGCTGGTGCGGCCTACGAATGGGATCACAGGCTCCTGGTCTCTGATTACAAGCCTTTCAGAGACAGAAGACACCTCGAAGACGGGCACCAAAGACGACTCCGTGATGCTGGACTCGAGCTGGCTGCAGTTCATCAACCCGATCCTCGAGGTTCTCAGTCGTGGCAGGCCGATGGACCTGGTGTGGGATTTCGACTACGCCGAATACCTCTCCGTCTTTCAGAGCTGCTGCCAGGACCTTCGCATCCAGCTGGTGCCTTACCAAGCACGCCACTCCGGGCCGAGCATAGACAGGGCCGGAGGGCACAGAAGCCAAGAAGAGGTCCGAAAGCGAGGCGGATGGGTGAGCAGAAAGAGCATGGATCGTTACGAGAAGGCGGGGAGGTTGGCAGCAACTTGGAAGTCCTTGACCTTCGAAGTCCAGCTCACGTGCGCCATGACCGAGCGATACATAGAGGAAATCATGCTAGGCCAAAGCTATCCGGTCATCACCATGCCTGGCTAAGCGCAAAAGGAGCCTATGTTGCTGACTTCTTCTCTGGACATGGCGGAGTCGCTCGAGCTGTTCGGAAGCTAGGTTTTTCAACACGTGAATGGGAGATTGAGCATGGCACTGGGAGTGATTTGACACGCAAGCCTGTGCTCCTTAAGATCCGTGATGATATCTTTCGAGGATCTGTCATAGCCGCCATGCTTGCTCCTCCCTGCACTTCTTTCACCAGGGCTCGCGATCGAACGTCCATCATCAGGACAAGTGAACAGCCCTGGGGACTGGATGGCCTAGATCCCGTCGATGCGCAGAAAGTTCATGTAGGAAATCGATGCATGAGATCCGCTTTGCGCATTATCTTCTGGTTGGAGCGCATGAAGGTTCCATGGATCTTGGAGCATCCCTTTAGCAGCAAAGCTTGGTACTTACCGAGGTTACGATATCTGCGGCGACAACCTCACATTCGAGCGGTGGCCACAGATTTTTGCCAATTTAATGTCCCATGGCAAAAACTCTGCTCCAGGATTGACGAACAGGACCTTGCTCGCTGTCATAAGCTTTGCACAGGATCATCCGGCTACTGTACAACAGGTCGCCGTCATGTGCAGCTTACTGGCAGTAGCAACAAAGGCATACCTCTTACACGCATTGCTCAACCATATCCAGGACGGCTGTGTCATGCGCTGGGGTATGCTCTGACCTCTCACGCCAGAGTTGTGCAGCCTTGGTTTTGATTTCCCTCCCTCCCGCCCTTTGTCAACTACCACTTCGGGAGCGATTTGGGAGATTACAGACAGGAGGACTTTCCAGGTTCGCGAATCCAGATCTTGATGATCTTTGGGTTCTGGCGATGCATCTTCGTCTTTCGGCTCGCCAGCTTGCCGTGACGCGTGAGAGGTTCTTGAGAAAGCAGTCCGCTAAAACATGCCATGTGTCATGGGAGTGTGCAACACATGAATGACATGGGCATTTTTTGGATGTCGTTCTTCCTGTCCAGAAATTTGGGCTCTCCCTCCCGCCCTCCCAAGGGGGAGATTACAGACAGGAGGACTTTCCAGGTTCGCGAATCCAGATCTTGATGATCTTTGGGTTCTGGCGATGCATCTTCGTCTTTCGGCTCGCCAGCTTGCCGTGACGCGTGAGAGGTTCTTGAGAAAGCAGTCCGCTAAAACATGCCATGTGTCAGAAAGTTCTCCTGCTCGTAGCAGAACGCATATAACACCGTAGTTGCCAATGGTCTGACTCGCGAGATGTCGAGCCCTTGGGCCTCTTTTGCACCCCCAAGTCTAGAACGCAGCGACGGTCAGGGGCCTTTCGGAGTATTTGTGGGACCTTCCAAAAGAACTGCACAAAGCTCTTGAAAAGCTTGAGACTGGGACATTTGACACACTGTTCTTGTTTTGATCTACACGATCAGCATGGGCAAGATGCGAGTAGACATCGGCAAACACCAGGGGTGTTTTGGCCCAGTCGGTTGAATCACCAGAGTCTGTGTGCTTTGAGCAGTACTGGCCAGATAAATCAGCAACCAATATGTTCTTCTTCGCCCCCGGCCTTGTAGACAGTGCCTACGCTAACATGAGTCTTGCATTAGAGAAATCTTGCTTCAAGTTCTACCCGGCATCTTACAAGCAGCTTGCTGGCCCTTGGAAGGCGCTCATGGCTTCTCAAGATGGTCTTGTTGCTTTGGGCGGCATCCTGCTGCAACAGATACAGAGCATTAGAGAAGGAACGAGGGCAAGCAGTCAAAAAGCTGCAGGAAGAGATGGAGTCCAAGATCCAGAAGTTGTCTAAGGAGCTTGCCGCCATCAAGGGATCCATCCATCCAGGAGGCTGCGTTGCTGAAATTCTCGCGCGTGACATTGCCGGCACATGGTTCCATGAGACTTTGAAGACTCGCGTTAGGGTCAATGACTCCGGCAAGTGCTTCTTTGACAATGGCTCGCAAAAGCAGGTGGAGGTGGATGGCAGCTGCCTCAAGTTGGATGACGGCTTCGTTCTGTCCATGCAGAAGAGCTCTCGCAAGGAGCTTCTTGGAGAAGGAGGGCCAGCCGGCGGTGGACATATGAGATGCCCGGCGGATCCAGGCAGGTGTCTTTGAATCTCGATTTGGAAGATGTGGTCCGGGGCAATCAGTACTACTCTCAGTCTAAAGCCGGCTCCTATGTATACATTTTCGCTCTCATTGGTTGTGAGGTTCTGCTCATGCTGCAAGATTCTTCGGCGACTGGGAGTAAAAACTTGGGCGTCTATTTCGGGTTATGCAAGTCCACTGCGAGGGCGGGCCAAGCAACGAACAGCATCGATGCAATCTCCTGCCGAGCCCAGATCGAGTTGTGGAACCCTTCGGAGAAGAACTGGCCGAACCTCTTTCGCAGCAACAACATCTTGCGCTACCAGGCAGGTGGGATCGCCTATGGAAGCGATGATGGGATATCACTGGCACTCTTCAAGCAAATTGTTTCTCCACAAGATCGTGGATATGGCAGATCGCAAGCGAAATTCCGAGTGACAATCACGGATATTGGCTTGTTGGAGCTTTCTAACACAGAGGTGCTTAGGCCATGTGGATTACTGTCGGCGAGGCGCGATAGAAAAGATGGCAGCACGAAGCAAAAAGGGATGAGAGACCCTTGAACTCATGGATCAGCAGAAGAGGCTTGGTGTGGGCCTTGTGTTTGCCCAGTGCTTGTGAGATGTCAGCCATCCCGCAGCTACGAAGCTGCAAACTCTTTAGACTCCATAAGCCCTGAAGCCTAGATCAGCCCCCTCGACACTAAACTCCAGACTTTTCAAATCCTGTACAGACCCCTCGTCGTAAACCTGCACGGTGCTGATCGCCTCCTGACCTTAGCTCCGCTTCCTGTGGCCCTCATGGTCCGACTTTCGCAAGGTGACCTGCACGAGGAGGCCCGACGTCGGCACACCCCCTCTAAACAACTGTTCGCTGTGCGTATCCCCCCCCCCCCCCCTTCCTGGCCATGAACCCCCCCCTACCCCGTATATCCCCCCCTAAACCCTATAAACCCTACTAAAGCCCTAAAACTCAGAGCCCTAAACCCCAACCCTAAAACCAAGGACCCTAAACCCTGACACCATAAACCCTATACATCCCTAAGGCCAAACCCCTACAGCCCTAAAAGCCCTAAACCCTAACACAAAAAAGTAAACCCCAAAACCATAAACCCTATACATCCTTAAGGCCTAAACCCCAAACCCCTCAACCCCGAAACCCTCAGAACCCTAAACCCTACACCCTAAACCCTAACCCCTAGAGCCCGGCGCAGGGCTTTTGCCTCCCATCCTCCGGCTTGGCGGCCGACCTGCTCTCGCGGCGCCTGGGCACGACCGGGCCTCAGCTCTCAGAGGGGTTATTTAGGGTGTATTTTATAGGGGGAGTTTTTTGGGGGTTTAGGGTTTGGGGTTTGGGGCCTTTAGGGCCTTTAGGGCCTTTAGGGCCTTTAGGGCCTGTAGGGTTGAGGGCTTAGGGCTTCGGGTTTAGGGTTTAGGGTTTAGGGTTGTTCCTTCGGGGGTGTAGGGCGAAGGGTTTAGGGGGTTCGAGGGTTGCACGTGATTCTGGCTCTCGGGGCGTTTGCAGGCTTTACTGGGTTTGATCTAGGGTTGATTGAGGGTTGTGACTGTGGCTTTCGCCGTTTTCACGCTTGTGGGTCTTCTGGGCTTTGATACCCGAGGAGGCCAGCGTGAAGCGTGACATGGGTTTAGGGTTCAGGGCTTGGGGCTTGGTGTCGTGAGCCCCCAAGCCCTGAACCCTAAACCGCCAGAGGCAAAACCCGATGTGGCGCCTATCTGCGGTCAACCCCAAATAGTCCCTACCCCACATTGCTCTAGGTCCCTGAGTATTTAAGGCGCCCTAAACCCGAAACCCTAAAGCCTAAACCCTAAACCCTCATCTGGCCAGGACGAAGCTCTCGGGCCTGACAGACTCCCAACTTCGGGCAGATCAAGTTGTGGAGCCCTGGCTGCAGCTCGTGCAGGGTTTTGGGGTTTAGGGTTTAGGGTTTAGGGTTTAGGGTTTCGGGTTTAGGGTTTAGGGTTTAGGGTTTAGGGATAGCCAAAACAAAGCATGCTATACTTAGGGCTGTATGCTTGTGTAGGGTCATACGTTTAGCCTGTACAGTTTTGCTATACGCTTACTCACACAATGGTCAGGGGCAGGGATTCGAGCGTTAGAATGCTTCTTAGGGGTTCAGGGTTTCGACGGTTTGGGCTTAGGGTTGGACACTTGGGTTAGGGGTGTTTGAGTGGTTTTGGGTTCAGGTTCAGTGATCCGTGCGCGCGTGCGCGCGCGCTCTCTGATCTACCTACACCCGAACTACATGAAATACCCGAAGCCCAAAGCCGGGAGAACTCAAGAGTGAGGAGTGCCTTCCTCAGCTCCTACAAGGGCCTTCGTGGAGAAGTGGCAAGGCCTTGCGGTCCTTGCCCGCCGGGCCCTTGAGAGCCATGAGGGGGTGTGGAGTGAACCTGAAACCCCGAACTCCTCTCAGCCGAGAGCCCCCACTCCGGTGAAACTTGGATTCCTATCGCAAGACACTTGGAAGACTCAAGGCCTTGTGTCTTTTTGAAAATGTTTGTAATGATAGCTGCTATTAGCTACAATTTACTACTTTGACTCTTAGGGTTTAAAGTTGAGCGGGGTTGAGGACAAGTGTAGGGTACAAGGTGACCAGCAGGTGTAGGCTGTTTTGCTTTTTGGGGGTGTCCGGCGTCCACGTGTGAAATACTGCGTTCATTGCCGGAGGTGGCCGTGAGGTTGCGCACGACGATCGGTCCACCTTCTTGCCAACCTGGCTGCCATAAGCGAATGTGACCTCCCGGCAGCTTGGCTTTAGCTCTGGGTTTAGGGTTTAGGGTTTTGGGTTTAGGGCCTTTTTTTGTGGCGCCTAGTTGGCGTCGGGCAATGGATCCGGTGAAATTTTTCGATGAAGACTGAATACGATTGTTACACTTTGCTGTGGCAACAAGAAGTTGTTGAGCGGAAACAGGTAGCACTTGGAAAACCGCAAGTTTTCCTTAGAGGTTGAATGGAGACTTATGTTGAAGGGGTATTCGTTATTAGGCTGTTCGGTTGTCGAAGCCTGCAGGCTTCTAAGTGCAACGTTTGTTCCACATGTCTTATATCATTGCACGGAAGCGGGGCAGTTGTCATCTTGATTTCTGTCGTCTTTGCCAAGCCTGGATCAGAGAAATGACTTGGACTTGTGGAGGTCAAAACGAAAAATAGCCCATTGCCTTGAAAGCCCTCGAGTTGAAAATTTGGGCTTTGCCACTTTTTGGGGGTTGTTTCGGTGCGCCGCCGCTCGCAGAGGCCTTGCGCTTCAGCGGCTGCATGGGTCCTCCGGCCGCCTCTGGGGCGGCCCATGGTCCCCCTGTCCTGACAGGGGCTCCAGAGGGAATCCTCCGCAGCGAAGCTGAAGTAACCCTAAACCCTGAACCCTGAACCCTAAACCCTAAACCCTCAACCCTAAACCCTAAACCAGGCCCCCTCTCCTCAAAGTCCAGAGTTCAGGGCTTGGGATTGTTGTGGTTTAGGGCCTTAGGGCTTTATCTACCAATTGCTTAAGAACCCCCCCCCCAAAAAAAAAAACAACAACTTCCTTATAAGGGTAATACAGGGATTCTTATTCTTACTACTATTATTTTTATAACTCTTATTATTGTTTTTTTGAATTCTTTTGGGGGTTCTTAAGCAAATAGTAATTGTGGGCGGGTTTTTCACAATCGCTGGAGTGGAGTTCAGAGAGAAGGTTTCGTGTTTATGAGGTTATGGTGTTCGTAAGGTTTGTAGGGCTTGTAGAGTTCAAGGTTCATAGGGTTTTCAAGGTCTGGGGTTGGGGGTGAAGTTTGGGGTTTAGGGTAAAACTTCTTCAGTAAAATTCTAAGCCCCCCAAAGTGAAGAAAAAAGACAACACATATAAGTATGTATATATGTATTTGTTTTTAACAAGTCTTATTTATTTCTTGATATATGTATATAATATAGTTCGCATGACATATGAACAAATACATAGATCCCTGTAAAGCCTCCAAGCCCGAGATCCTGTTGTATGCTTTTTGTTGAGTCCTTCGGTTGGCCAAGGGCAGCCGTCATCCGCGCCACGGGGGAAGGCTTGGGGCGAGTTCGAATTTCACTCCTGGGATGCTACGGTCAGAACCCTAATTCCTATCAGCCCAACCGAAAGGTCATGGAAATTATGAGTAACGCAATCCGTGGGGGAATGCCAGCGTTATTCAAGATTCCTTAGCTAGTTTTGGCCAGAGAATAGCCCAGAAATAGCGCTCGAGCGTTCTGGAGGCAAACATCTTCTTGAAAAAAACACTATACAACCAAAAGTCAGCCCGACTTATGTTGAACTTACTTCGATTAATTTCGGGTTTATCATGAGGAATTTTAGACTATTGTTTCAGCTTTGTTTTGGACAACCATCAGGTGACCGCAAGCTTGCTGCCTCATTTATAGGCATGGCATCCCCCCCGCCCTGCATACCCCCCCCCCCCCCGCCCCCCCCGGATCCCGTGAGTTTGGGGTTTGGGCTTCAGGGTTTGAGGTTCGAGCTGCGCGGGTCTTGGGAATTTCTACAGTATTGCCTGATTTGATAGCAGAGGTTCTTAGCTGGATGTCCAGTGCCCGACCTCCGAGTTTGCGCGCGAAACGACCCTGGCCAGGCAAAGGAGATCTTCGCTGGCAGTAAGGTCAACGTCCTGACGGTGGACCTACACTGCGCACTGTTGGTGCAGATGGTTGGCATCGGATCTCTTGGAGACCCATCCTCCCGCATTCTCAGCTAGGCCTAAACACGTGAGTCGTGTGAGGAGCCGTAGAATATAGAAGTTTAGGTGGCAAGGCGTGGCAAGGCCCTAGCCTCTTCTTGCCAGGCATAGGCTTTAGCTGCCTTCAGGAGTGTTCACATGTCCAGATCTCAGGGGAGACTGGTCCGCGCCTGCAGAGGTTGTAAGGAAGATGTGCTGCTCCGGAGTCTTGCGTACCTCGCCCCACGCGCTGCCTGCACGAGCTGGCTTTGGGCACAGCGAGGATTCCGGCATCATGGCTGGACAAGAGTGAAGCAATTCCGGGCGCAGGTTGCAGAGTGCAGGCCCCTCGCGCTCGTACTCAGCTTTAGACCTGCTCCAAGACGCAAGATGCGTAAACGCGCGAGCACAGCAATGCCATCGTGCTGCCAGAGTGCCTTTGACGTCTGCCACGCGAGCCTGGGCTGCAAGCAAGCCGTTCATGTCAGGGTTACCACGGGGCCACGACCACTCATCCTGCACATCCTGCAAATCACAGGCAGCTTCTTCTTGTTCCTGTTCTCGACTTCACGACCCATTGCTTGGCCCTGGTGCAACAGATATCATGTCACTCACAACATATCAATGCAGGAGCTGAGATTGTCAGAATTGCTATCTTGAAGTGTTGCATTCCGCACAGGCTCTTGCGCCTTTCATGCCGGCTGCGAAATCAGCAAAACTCCACAGCCATGGGAGTTGCGATTGATGTTTGGTAGACCATGAAGAATCACAAGACCGTCCAACCCTGATCGCCCCACACCATCAACCCCTAAGCCCCAAGCCCCAGACCACATACCACAGAACCCTAAACCTTAATTAAGCCATAGAACCCCTAAACCTTGAACCATCCATAGAACCCCTAAACCTTGAACCATAGAACCCAAAACCTTAAACCCGAAGGGAAAGGGAGAGAGAGAGAGAGAGAGAGAGGGGGGGGGGGGAGAGAGGGAGGGAGAGAGCGAGAGAGACAGACACAGAGACAGATGCAGAGACTGTGAGCGAGACAGTGAGACAGACAGACAGACAGACAGATCCCCAACCCCAACCCCCCCAACCCAAATTCCTAGGTGCTTCGCCTCGGCTTCCGTGCGCTTCGCCCGCGGTGGCTCGGCTTGTTTGGGTCTGTTGAAGGTTTAGGGTTTTCAGGCAGGGCGTAGGGTTGATAAATTTCAGGGTTTTGAGCTTAAAAGGTTAGGGGTTTTTAAGGTTTAAGGCTTGGGGCGAAGGGGCGGGAAAGCCTCGACACTGGTGACAGATGCCCGGGTGTCTATGGGGCGAAGGACCATTTCAAAAGTAGGGGCTTGGTCGTGGATTTCTCATCTAGAGAGACGTCGGGTTTAGAGCCCCAGCTCTTCACCCGAATCCCCAAAGCCCTACCGTACCTCGGATCACCAGACAAGATTTCGGAGGCCTCAATTTTGAATCCTTAGCCGTGTGGAACTCAAAGTCTAAAACCCTGGAAACTCTAAAAGCCCAAATGCTAAATCCCAACTAAACGGCCCCCCCAAATCCCTAAATCCTAAACCCCAAACCCCAAACCAAACCCCAAACCCCAAACCCCAAACCCCAAACCCCAAACCCCAAACCCCAAACCCCAAACCCCAAACCCCAAACCCCAAACCCCAAACCCCAAACCCCAAAAACCCCAAACCCCAAACCCCAAACCCCAAACCCCAAACCCCAAACCCCAAACCCCAAACCCCAAAAACCCCAAAACCCCAAACCCCCCCAAAAACCCCAAACCCCAAACCCCAAACCCCAAACCCCAAGCCCCAAACCCCAAACCCCAAACCCCAAACCCCAAACCCTAAACCCCAAACCCCAAACCCCAAACCCTGAACCCTAGCTTGGTGCTGGGCCGAGGCAGGCTCCTCGACGTCACCAAAGCACCGGACTCGCCAGCAGCGCAGTCTTTCCCAGCTTCCTGCCGCGTGTGGAGGTTGTTCTGAAATTGGGGCTTGGGTTTGGGGGTGTAGGGTTTCGGGTTTAGACTTTAGGGTTTAAGGTTTGGCGTTTAGGGACGCAGTTCTGAGTTAGGCTCGCCTTATTGAAAGATACACGTGAAGCGAAGGTTCCCTGTAGTAAAGGTCCGCACCTGGGTTTACAACAGGCATCCACGAGGTTAGGGTTTCCGTTTAGGGGATGGATTTTTGCTGGGAGATGAACCCTAAACCGTAAACCGTAAACAAGTGATTTGCTGTAACCGTGTTTTCCCTCTAGGGCAGACTGAGAAGAAGGCCGCAACGTCTGGTGTACCCAACACTCCACTTTCTAAACCCGAAGTCCAAACTTTCAGCCTCAAAGCTCAAGTCCTTTACTGACCAACAGACCCTTTGATTCCCTGAAGAACCAAACAGGGCCGGCATTTGGACCACGTGTCCGGAACGCAGCAGGATTTTTTGGTTTCAAAGCCGCCTTAGCCCCAAACCGTCACCCTGAATCTCAAGAAGCCCAAGACCAGAGCCCAAAAGCTCTGGGCCCTAGAAAGGATAGGGCCCCGCACCCCGAAAGTTGTTGCGTCAAGGTCCTTAGAGAATGCAAAGGGCCGGTGGAGACCTGCTTCGAGATTCGCACCTGCTTTGGATGCGCCTGGCTGCACTTCGCACATTCACCGGATTTCTGCTCTGAACCCCCGTAAGCCCGAACCTTATTCATTCACCCGATGTCTCATCAGACCCTATCCAGCCCTCAAAGCCCTAGATGCCCTAGACTCCCTAGACCCTCATTTCCGAAAAGGGTTGCAGCTGAGGTACAGTGCAGGAGATGGCCAGGGCAAGGAATACCTTGAGTCGGACGTTCTTACCCGCGTTACGCCCGCCGACCTGCGATGGTTTTTTTGGATTTAATTACGGCTTTTTGGTGGTTGGGTGTTTGGGGGTGTATAGGGGGGAACTTAGAGTAGACGGCGTGCCCAGGATGCACGGTCCAAGCTCGAAGGATCGCTCCGAGGTTTGGAATGCTCAGGATGGCTCTGTTGCCATCCCCCTCTTTTGTCACGTGACATGAGGGCGGGACTGCAGTTCTGGCAGGGGGGGGCGGCAAAACTGCAACTGCAGACATCGAAACGTCTAAGATTACAGGTTTGTCGCTCCCGCTGAAGCCTCATTTCTCCACTTCCCAGAAGGCAATCGCCAGGAGACAGGCTTCCTTGAGTGGCCCTTAGGAGGCACATAGCCACGACCCAGCAATCCGCTGTCGTGTTTTCCTCTTGCCTGGCTTCTGGGCCTGTGCTGCATAAGCCTCACAGCATCTTGACAGACGTTTTGAGGCCCATGGCATGTTTGTCCCTCTTTAAAGAAAAGGGCTGCAGGTGTGGTAGCCTTGCAAGGGCGCCCGTGGACCGGAGGCCAGCCGCAGCGGCTGAAATGCCCAGGAAACTAGTGTCTCTATGCTTTTCACGAATGGGGCTCCTTGCGCCATCCTGCACCCGAAGCCCTCGCAATCACACGTGCCTGGGCACGCAGAGTCCTTTCTGCTATGGGTTGCGCTTCATCTCACATCCGAGTAGGGGGTGAGCACTTGTGGTCTGAACGCCGGGTCGCGAGCAACCAAGCCTGGCGGAGCACCTCAGCATCCCGCAACAGAATGCATCCCTGCTCAGTGTATTGTGCCCGACCCAATCTTCATTTTACCTCCGGCTCAGTACCTGTCATGCTGCCTTCTCGTGCACACATCATTCGAGCACGCTGTGTTTGCGGGAAATGCTCCATAGTTTCTTTCTGGGCTGTGTGCAGGCATGCGAGGGGGCGTTGACAGTGCGACATTGCATCCCCGAACGCCCCGCCTCACGTACAAAGTGCCTCACATGCAGAGAGGGATTCGTTGTCGGGTCAGCAGCTCCGATAACGAATCGTGTGGGATGCCAAGACCATGAGGGGCTGGACGGGATCAAAGCTTGTGGCCCATGTCTTGGAGGCAGCTGCAAGCATCTGCCGAAGCAGCCGGCGTATGCAAGAAGGGAGCTCAGGCGGTCGTGTTCTGCAGCGTCCTTCCTCTTGAGCCTCTTCGGCATCACTGCAACACCCCTTCAAGCACGCCGGTGGTTTTCTTCGGGCATTCTTCGGGCATAGGGCATCCTCGGATGGCTTGAGTCCGCAAGAAACCTCTTGAGACCTCCGTAAGGCCCATTGCGTACACCGGCCTTCGGGTTGTTGGGGCAGGGAGCCGCGTCAGCCGGGGTCCCCGGGGTCTGGGTTTTCCGAGTTTTGGAGCTCATTGGAAGTTTTGGGTCCTGGCTTTGCTTGTGCCATCTATGAATCTTGGAACCTTCCTGAGAGGTTCCTGAACTCGATCTTGGCTCTGGGTTCCCGAGCTGGTCATCCACCTGCCTTGTTTACACCAAGCTCAGAAACATCCCACAAATTTCAATGGAACTGATGCTGTGCTGGGATGCACTGCATGAAGCTCTTGAAGAAAGCCTGCCAGTTTGAAATTGAAAGGGCAGGCTTGAGATGTACTGCCGCGGAGAGAGTCCCGCAGAAACAGCACGTCGGATACCTTTGGCGGTGGAGCTTCAACAGCTCCGTTCCAGCGCTTGGTGATGATTTCATAGATGCATACCTGGGGTACCAACTTCTGCGAGGTTGCAGCACAAAGTGCTGTGTGGGAGAGCAGCTAATCTGCAGGTTGGCGTGGTGAAAGCAGCTTGGATGATTCACGCACCCCGGCGAGCCGAATCCTTGCAACTTCAGGCTTCCGCCACAAAGTTGCACACCGAAACACCAGCAGCACCAACGTCACCAAGGTTCACCAAGCCTCGCAGCATGAGCTCTGCGAACTGTACCAGGAGTCCCCCCAGCCTGTTGGGATCCTGGTGCCCGCACGAATGCAGCCAAGTGCTGCAGCCGTGTCGCGCTTTCAGAGTGCAGTGCCGGGTAGCTCGCAGAATCTTTTCCGCGCTTAAAGGCTTCGGTTTACGGAAGTTCAGGATTCGGGTCTTCGGGTTTGGGTGCAAGCAGGGCTGGCAAGAAACCTTCCGAGGAGCCTTTTTCAGGTCTGTGGCCACGCGGCCTTCAGTCAGCCATTCTGCCTGTGGTAGCCCTTCGCCTCAATCTGACCTTCGTGTATCCGGCTCTTTGTGAAGCGTTGGCTCGAGCTGGGAAGGGTGATGAAGCAAGTCTCTGACAAACCTTGCCTGGACCTGGCCTTTCCAAACCCCTCTCTTGTTTTCGACTGAGGCTCTACTTCGCCTAAAATGAAACTTACTGTAGTCATCCAAAAGCATCCCACCCCAAGCAGGCTCGTGGTGCCTTTCCGAAACAGGGTTTGCCGTCACTAGGACGACCGTGTGGGAGTGTCTGCGAGGTCAAAGTTAGCCGTCGCAACTCAGGGCCCGTGTGGACGAGTGAGCTTGCTTCTGTGGCCCTTGTCCTCAGCCTGTTAGGGGCACTCCTGAGCTTCGTCATACACCAACGGTACCATACCAGGGCGCCACACCCTCCCTA